CTCCAGTTGTGAGGCTGAGATCTACGCCGGGGCCATGGCTGCACAGGAGCTTCGCTGGCTCACCTACCTGCTGACTGACCTTGGAGAGCCGCCTCGTTCTCCTCCAGTGCTGTACGTAGACAACAAGGCCATGCTGGCCTTGTGTCGAGAGCAGCGTTTGGAGCACAGAACGAAGCACATTGCTCTCCGCTACTTCCTTGCTCGTGAGCTGCAGCAGCGTGGTCAGTTGCGACTTGCGTACGTGGCCTCTGAGGCCAACACTGCTGATGTGTTCACCAAGGCACTCGCGCCTTGTGACCATCAGCGCTTTTGCACCCAGCTGGGTCTTGTGCCTGTCTTGCCTCACTTGCTCTCCTCTTGACTTCACTTGTACTGTGACATATATATATACCTGCTCTTGCTTGTCTAGTTTTATATATATGTCTATCCTCCTGCATGTGAACTGGCCTCTGGCCCTGCTCTTGTGCTCGGACTGTGTGGAGACTTTGTGATCCACCCTGAGCTTGCTTTGCTTTGCTTGACTGGTCTTGTGACCCCTTGTTCTCCCCCACTTTGCCTATGGGGGTGTGTCAAACATTATATATGTTATGCTTGTGTAGGCTACAGTGGATTAGCCTATAGGGGGTACACAATTCTAGGGTTTCCTACTTGTACTCATTTCACTGCTAGTCCATTCATTCTTGTTTGCTTATTCTCACATGCATACCCTCTTAGCATCTTGGCACTCTATGTTGCTCCTGGGAGACACTGACCAGAGCACATGGCTGCAGCGAAGAGGGTGTTGCGCTACTTGTGCAGTACGTTGGGCATGGGGCTAGTGCTTGGAGGGCGACGTCAAGTGGTCCTCACTGGTCACGCAGACGCTTCTTGGGCTGACGACCAGACTACGCAGCGGTCGTCACACTGTTACACCTTCAGCCTTGGTTCCGGCTCTGTTTCGTGGCGGTCTACCCGCTCGTCTTCAATTCTCGGCTCCAGTTGTGAGGCTCTGATCTACGCGGGGGCCATGGCTGCACAGGAGCTACGCTGGCTCACCTACCTGCTGGCTGACCTAGGAGAGCCGCCTCGTTCTCCTCCAGTTCTGTACGTAGACAACAAGGCCATGCTGGCCTTGTGTCGGGAGCACAGACTGGAGCACAGAACGAAGCATATTGCTCTCCGCTACTTCCTTGCTTGTGAGTTGCAGCAGCGTGGCTAGCTGCGCCTTGCTTACGTGGCCTCAGAGGCCAACACTGCTGATATCTTTACCAAGGCACTTCCGCCTGGTGATCATCAGCGCTTCTGTACTATGCTAGGTCTTGTGCCTACTTGGCCTCACTTGCTCACTTCTTGACCTTGCTTGTACTGTGATCTTTCTATACCTACACTTGCTTGTTTACCTTTATATATGATCTTGCAAGTGAACTGGCCTTTTGGCCTTGCTCTTGTGCTCGGATTGTGTGGTGACTTTGTGATCCACCCTGAGCTTGCTTTGCTTTGCTTGACTGGTCTTGTGACCTCTTGTTCTCCCCCACTTTGCCTATGGGGGTGTGTCAAACTCATATGCTATAGTCTGTGCAGGCTGTAGTGGGGTAGACTATATGAGGTACAACATTTCTAGGTTTTCCTACTTGTACCCACCTGCTTGATAGTTCATTCTTTCCTCATTTCTTCACACAGACCAACTGCTCTGAAACCATGTCACGACCTAATGAGTAGGAATGATTGCATTGAATGAATTGTGGGTACAAGTACAAACCCTAACATTGGGTTGCACCCCATATGAGCTACCCCACTATATCCTAGATTGAACTAGCATAGATATAGTTTGACATCTCCCCTACCACGATGATGACCTTTCTTCGAGTGTTGCTGCACGTTGTTGCTCAGCGTGACTACGAGCTTAACTCTCTTGACTTCAGCACAGCTTTTGTACAGGGCAGCGTGCATGAGGAGATCTGGGTGCACCGTCCTCGTAGCTTCACTAAGTCGTTTCTTGAGGGTACCCTGTGGAGCCTCAGACGGCCAATCTACGGTCTTCACCAGGCGCCTCGTGAGTGGCACGACACACTGAGGATAACACTTGTGGCCCTTGAGTTTGCTCCTTCGACTGCTGACCCGTTGTTGTTTCTGCGCACCGACACTTCGCTGCTGCTGTTCTACATCTTCGTGTACGTCGACGACTTGATTGAGGCACTGGCCCTTGTAAAGTCGGAGCTACAAAAGATATACACCTGCACTGACCTGGGTGAGCTGCGCAGCTATCTTGGCTTGCAGATCACCCCGGACAGAGCACGGCGCACCATCACCTTCAATTGGTCACACATGGTGCACCAGATACTTCAGCGCTTTAGCTTCCGGTTCTCGAAGCCAGAGTCCACTTCTCTACCTACCGGTCCCTCGCTCTTAGCTCCACCTTCGGACGAGTTTGTAGAGCCGAGTGGCCCGTATCCAGAGCTTGTGGGCTGCCTCATGTACCTAATGACCTGCACTCGACCTGACCTTGCCTACCCTCTTAGTATCCTGGCACGCTACGTTGCGCTCGGGGGACACCGACTAGAGGACTGGGAGGCCGCTAAGAGGGTGTTGTGCTACTTATGCAGTACATCGCGCATGGGGCTCGTGCTTGGAGGATGAGGTCCAGTTGTCCTCACTTGACGCGCGTTCGCGTCTTGGGTTGACGACCTGGCTACGCAGCAGTCGTCACAGGGTTACACTTTTAGCCTTGACTCCGGCTCTGTTTCTTGGCGGTCTACACGTTCGTCTTCTGTTCTCAGTTCCAGTTGTGAGGCTGAGATCTACGCAGGGGCCATGGCTGCATAGGAGTTACGATAGCTCACTTACCTGTTTAGCGACTTGGGAGAGCGGCCTCGTTCTCCTCTAGTTCTGTACGTAGACAACAAGGCCATGATTGCCTTGTGTCAGGAGCACAGACTGGAGCACAGGACGAAGCACATCGCTCTACGTTACTTCCTTGCTCGAGAGTTGCAGCATCGTGGTCAGCTTTGTCTTGATTACGTGGCCACCCGGGCTAGCACTGCTGATATATATACGAAGGCACTTCAGCCTGGTGATCATCAGCATTTTTGTACTGCTTTAGGCCTTTTGCCTACTTTGTCTCACTTGCTCACTTCGTGACTTTGCTTGTACTGTGATCCGTATACATATACTTGCATGCTTACACTTGCTAGGTTATGATCATTGTACTGTTTGTTCTTGTTTATATAACTTTGCATGTGGACAGGCAGGGCTCAGGTTATCAGTGTAATTTACCCTTCTATACTGATAATAAGGGTGAAAATTTGAGTCTACACTGATTAGCTGGGGTAATTTTTTGGTGAATTTGTGTTACACTGATCTGTAAGTGTATCGTTGTAGGCCACACTGATGCATTGGGGTGAATTTATAGTTATCGAATTTTACACTGAAGGGCGTACATGACCTCCCCCCCCCCCCCCCCCCCCCCCCCCACCCCTCCTTTCCCTGAAATTTGTCAGATCGTGATTTCCGTCAATCACGCAAGTACCAAGGCTTGTGTTCAGTACGTGCGTTGGCAGCAGTCACGTGTCGGATTGGTCAGTTGGGAATAACGGTCAGTGTACGGCCAAAACCCACACTAACGACGGAGGGTAAAAGGTTTTAAATTTGGATGTTATACGGCTCTATCAGTGTAATGTAAAGGTACAGGCTGCCTAGAAGGGTTTTCGAAAACGCTACACTGCCAATCGTGAGTAGGCCAAATCCAAACCTGAGCCCGATGGACAGGCCTTGTGGCCATTTGCTTGTGCTCGGAGTGTGTGGTGACATTGTGATCCACCCTGAGCTTGCTTTGCTTTTTTCTTGACTGGTCTTGTGAGCTCCTGTTCTCCCCCACTTTGCCTATGGGGGTATGTCAAACTGTTATAATGTTTATATTGCGTAGGTTGTATTGGGGTAGCCCATAAAGGGTATACCGTCACCCCCCGGATATAAGCGCCACCCTGGGATAAGCGCTAGGCGCTTGTTATTGGCATATGGCGCTTATATCCGCTCCTCGATTATAAGCGCACCCCCTGAAAAAAAACTTGTTTTATTATAAGCGCATGTAAGTACTAGAATATGAAATTGGTTCAACACATTGTAACGATTTTTACTTTACAAGGCGGATGTGTTGCAAATTCGGTTCGCTTCACTTTCAACCCCTGCACTGGATGCGAGTCCAGTGAGCAGGAGCTGTCAGGGGCACCTTGTGAGTCAGATTGAGTGTATCTCCCAGCGCGCGAGAGAATTTCACGAAAGACCCTATGTAACTTCGACTCGATTGAAAAGGCAAGGACGAGATCTACCGTTTGGTGCTGGAAAATACTAAATAAATATATATGTAATTTTATAAGTGCCTGCGCTTATAAATTTACTCGATTATAAGCCCACCCCCCTAAAAAACATGTTTTATTACACCCCCCCATGGGGATATATCCGGGGTATGATGGTAACCCAATAAGGGTTAGTAATTGTACTCAGTTTCTTGTCAATGCATTCGTTCTCGTTTAGTATTCTGACACACGCTATCGCGTGCTCCTATGTGGGCACAACGTTATAGTTGGGAGTGAACGTGCTCTATATAAGCTAAGGTGCTATTCAGATGATTTGTCACAACTTCAGGAATGTTCAATATACCTTTTGGTTATTCCAACACCCAACAATGTCAACGTAGATGAGATCACGTGTACAGTTGCAGATGAAGTGAAGTTGTAAATGTGTGTATGGTTCAAATGTATTTAAGTAATGAAACGACTTTTCACCTTTTAAAACCCGCAGCCTGAATTACAAAAGCGAGTCAATGCTAGGTTTGGGCTGGATTGGGGGTCATGCAAACTGAGGTTCGGAAGTTAATAGTGAAAACAATGTGCGACAACCTGGTGTCGCACCAAGCAAACCACTCAGAGGGGAATGTGCCTGCATATGCTATGAGAGTGAACAATAGCACCTCAACAAACCTTACACCAGGTTAGAAGCTTAGTTGTTAGACTTCAAGTAGGAAAATGTCACCATACGACAAAAACGACGGCATACCATCCGTCGTTCCCCTATACATCGCACGCAGGTTCAAGCCCCGTCGCCCACAATTTTAGGGTTACTGCGCGTGCAGTTCCGAAATCTGGCGACGCCCGCATTTAGCATTTTTATCGCCCAAGCGTGCCATTCCCGTAGCGCTAATATCCCCTACCCGTCATACGCAGGTCCCGGTCGACCCGCCCACATTTCTCCTACAATTCGCGACCACGACGCCCCTTCGCTTCACCCACATTTCCGCGTCGTTTCAGTCGCATTTCCTCTTCGATGCGCGAACTATAGGCGATCCCATCGCCAAAATTTCGCGAGCCCGTTGACTACAGATCCCCTTCTCGTCAGCCGCCTTACCCCTTCGCGTCGACCCCACACCTCATTTCTCTCTTCCATAGCGCCCTCATACTCTCTCCCACAGAGCTCTCAAATTCTCTCCCACAGCGCTCTCATCCCCTTCTTTCACTCCGTTTCCCCCCTGCTCATTCTCTGCCCCCCCTTCAATCATCCAAGGCGTGCCCCTCACCCCTCTGAACCTAGCTTGCCATCCACATCTTCCCTTCCCCACTGCTCACAGATTCCTTGTTCCAGCGCCCGCACGTAAATGTCGACTGCAGATATTCTTCTCGTTGCGAAGTGTGTATATGACCACCACTATGTGATTCTCCCTTACGTTCCTTCCCATTCCCGAATAATCAGAAGTTAACCCCCACACTAAATACATCTCTCCCTTTTCCCCACTCAATCGCCCTGCTCCCCACCGTCCTCCCCCCAGCTCTCTCCCCGGCATCTCCCTTGCTCCCCACGTCCTCTTCCCTACTTCCCCCCATCCCCTTCCCTGCTTCCCCCTATCCCCTTCCCTGCTTCCCCCCATCCCCTTCCTTGCTTCCCCCCATCCCCTTCCCTGCTTCCCCCCATCCACTCCCCTGCTTCCCCGCATCCCTTGGCCTTCTTCCCTCCGTCACTTCCCCTACTTCCCCCCGTCCCCTCCGCTGCCTCCCCCCATCCCCTTCCTTGCTTCCCCCCATCTCCTTCCCTGCTTCCCCCCATCCCCTTCCGTGCTTCCCCTCATCCCCTTCCATGCTTCCCCCCATCCCCTTTTGTGCTTCCCCCCATCCCCTTCCGTGCTTCCCCCCATCCATTTCCCTGCTTTCCCCCATCTCCTTCCCTGCTTCCCCCCATCTCCTTCCCTACTTCCCCCCATCCCCTTCCGTGCTTCCCCCATCCCCTTCCATGCTTCCCCCCATCCCCTTCCGTGCTTCCCCCCATCCCCTTCCGTTCTTCCCCCCATCCCATTACATGCTTCCCCCCATCCATTTCCCTGCTTCCCCCCATCTCCTTCCCTGCTTCCCCCCATCCCCTTCCCTGCTTCCCCCCATCCCCTTCCATGCTTCCCCCCATCCCCTTCCATGCTTCCCCCCTTCCCCTTCCATGCTTCCCCCCATCCCCTTCCATGCTTCCCCCCATCCCCTTCCATGCTTCCCCCCATCCCCTTCCATGCTTCCCCACATCCCCTGGCCTGCTTCCCCTAATAATCTCCCTCTACAGGTCCCCATCCCCCTCCCTATCGCTGGCAGTCCACCCTGTCACTCAGATCTCCCATGCTTGACACCCTTGCTCGTTGGGAAAATGCATGCCCGTCGCAAGTGCGTGCACTGCTCGTCGGCCAGCCATATTAACTCTGTTCCGCCCACCCTCTCCCGTCCCATTCTGCCGCCATCTCGCATTCCTTTGCACCTTCCCTCATTCCTTCCCACCCTCTCTAATTCCTTCCCACCCTCTCTCATTCCTTCCCTCACTCTCCCACCCTCTGCCCTATTCCCACCTAGGTGCGGAGATAACTACTACAACGCGAGCTAGATTACGGGCTAGGCACGGATGCTCGTGTGATCTCTGCATTCGTTTGCCCTTAGTCGTTTTCCTAGTGCACACACTGCTTAATGGTTCACTGGGCAATTTGGCAAGAGTTTCACTAAGAAAGGTTGACAACAATGGTACAATCAAGTTGGAAGGACAAGACTACATCAGAGCTAGCATGCAAGCAGGTCGACTGCCAGCGCAGCATGGTCGAACGCGTTCCAGCACAACTTGGTCGACCGCGCTATAGCAGTGCAAAGTCGCGGTTCGCCAATGCTGCAGGTCGACAGCGTGCCAACATCGCAAGTCGACGGCGTGCCAGCGTTGCACCCGCAAGACAGCAGTGCACGTACTTCGCAGGTGCTCGCAGGTGATTGGCGTGCTGTGCCTTGTCACCTGCATAGCGCACACACCAAATCGCTCTCGTGTTGACGACAGCATCTGATCAGCCACATCGACCTCAGGATACCACCACCGAGGTCGGCCTCGCCACAGACACCTGGACGACTGCCGCGTGCCTTCGCAGAACCTCGTCACTCAAGTAGCCCGGTCGACCGGGCAACCACGTCGACCAGCTGCTCATGTATGTGCCCGTCGACCTCCCAAGTCGACAACCACCCAGTCGGCTACCCCAGGTCGGCGTCACCAAGTCGGCGCCACATCGCCGACCACTAGCTGAAGTCAGCGGCATTGCAGTGGCCCCGTGCAAGTCGACCAAACCCGTCGACCAGCTCGCCCAAATCGGCGTCGCCCACTTCTGCAAGTCGGCTGCACCTCCCGTACACCCAACCACGAAGTCGGCTCCGCCCAAGCGAGGACGAGGCCAACACACAACTCCCGTTGACACTCCCCTGCCGCGTTCACGCTTGGGCCCCCCAGCCCACACGGCAGTACTCCTCGGAGAATAGATCGTCGACGTGCACCAAACACACAGCACCTCGTCCGCCGCACCAGCCATGCAAGAGGGCATGGCGCCTACTGCTGCACGTTGTCATCTTTGTCGCCCACATCGGCCAAGCGCACCTGGCGATGGGGCATCGGTTGAAGGCCGGATAGTGCAGCGCCTTTTTTCAGGAAGTCGGACGGCTGCTCGGTGGTTGGGATGTACCTGAGCAAAAACTTCCCACGCTTCACAATGTGTTGCAGCCAAGCCTGTCGCTGCTCCATGTGCTTGAGGTTGCCCGTCAACCCCATGCCCTTGGCAACTATGATGGCCGACTAATTGTCCACTCCAAGGACGATCGGCTTCCCAGCATCCAGCTGCTGGAACTCTGCGAGGAGGAAACGTCCTTGCCGGCTTCCATGGCCGCCACATACTCCAAATCGGTCGACGACAGCGTCGCACACTTGATGCACTGGCTCGACCAGAAGACTGCCACCCCTCCGTAGACGAACATATAGCCACCCGTGCTCGTCCGGTTCTGCTTGTTACTGGCGTCGTCGGCGTCCACGTAGCCGACCAGCTTCAATGACTCTGGTCCACCACCAAGCTCCAAGGCGATGTCACGTGTGTTGGTGAGGTAGGCGAGGCAGCGGTCGACCTCGCGCCAATGCTGGTTGCTCCTCACCGTGAGGCCGCTCCCCAGCTTACTGCAGGCGAAGGCTATGTCCGGCCTTCTCGTCGTCGCCGTGAACTGCAGCGAGCCGACCTTTTGCCGGTACTCCTCCTCCTATCGCTCCTGTGCTTCCTCGTCGTCGAAGGTGAGCTCGGCGTAGGCGTCGACCAAGACCGGCGTCTTCAGGGTGCGCCCGGTCTTTTCCTCGTCAATGAAGAGCCTACGCAGCTTGTCGGCGTAGCCCTGCTGGTGCAGCCACAGCTTCCCCGCCGACCTGGCGCGGATGATCTCCAGTCCGAGGTACTTTTGCACCGGCGAGATCTCACGCAGCTCGAAGGCGGACTCCAGCAGCCCCTTCAGCTCCTTCAGCATCTCGGTGCTGCTGCTGGCATCGAGCAGGTCGTCGACGTAGACCAGCACCCAGCAAACCACTCCGTCGTCGCCGACCTTGAAGTACAGAGCCTCGTCAACCTGGTTCTTCTTCCACCTAGCGTCGACCAGCACGTCGTTGAGCGCCAAATACCACAGCAGCGGCGACTGCTTCAGCCCGTACAGGCTATTCAGCAGCTTGCACACCCGGCTGGATCTGTCGTTCAAGTAGTCCGGCTGGGACATGTACAGCACCCGGTCGAGCTTGCTCTGCAGGAAGGCGTTCTTCATGTCGAGCTGCATCAGGTTGAGGTTGAGGACTGCGACAATGCTAAGGAAGATCCTCAGCGTGACGTAGCTGCCTACCGGCGCGAACGTCTCATCGTAATCGGCGCCATACACCTGCGTGAAGCCCTTCACGACCAGCCTCGCCTTCTCGCGCGCGACGGTGTTGTCGACGTGGTACTTCGTCGTGAGCACCCACCGGTTCTTCATTATTTTCACCCCGGGCGGGCGTCCTACCACCTCCCAAGTGCCCATGGTGATGAGGCTGCGGATCTCCTCCTCCATGACGGCCTTCACCGCCGGGCCCTTTCAGCTCGCCAACGCCTCTTTCACCGTCATCGTCGAGATGTCCCAACGGTGTTCGGGGTCGGCATGCAAGTCGGGGTCGAGCTCCAGAAACTCCTCATCCTCCTTGGCGTCGTCATACGCCAGGTCGTCGTCATCCACGTTGTACACCGTGGTGAAGGCAGCGGAGACGAAGAAGTCGGGAGGCCTCCGAAGTCGGCCTAACTTCCGAGGTTCAGGCCGAACCTCCACCACGTCGCTCTTGGTGGACTCCTCGGCGTCCCCTCCTTTGTCACCGTCTTTGCTGCCCTCGTCGCCCTGCTGCACCTCAGTCGACTTCCTAGCCGACTAATCCACTGTGGTCGGCTCCTCTGCCGACTTCCTGATTGCCGACTTCTCCGTGGTCGGCTTCACCGCCGTCTGCTCCCCTATCGGCTGCTGCTCTACTGGTGCTCTCTTTGCCGGCTTCACCCAAGTCGGCTGCACCTCCTCGACCTGCTCCTCCCTCACGATTGTCGACTTCACCCCCACGTCGACTTGCTGCTCGTCACGTTGGCCATCGGCGATGCTTCTGGCCGGCGCCGAATGCAACGTCCCACTTCTCCCCTCATCGCCGGAGGCCGACACCAAGGTCAGCCTGCGCAGGTCGGCCTGGAGCGGAGGGGCTGGGGTCGTAGAGGGGGGGGGAGGGGGGGGGGAAACGGATGATCTCGGCGTCCTCAGCAGCAAGTTCACCGACCTCCGGCAAACAGAGGCAGTGTCGCCGACAAGGTGTCAGTCGACGGGGTGGTTGCCGTCCGTCCTGACACCGGCCCGTGCGCCAACTTCCACACCTCCAGCGACATATCTTCGTAGAACACCACGTCTGACGTGGTGACCACCCGGTTGTCGACAACGTCGAGGAGCTCCCAGCCCTTGCTCTCCTACGACACGCCGAGGTGAAGACCCCACCTCCCCTTCGGCTTCAGCTTCCCACCACGCTGCTGCTCGGGGACCAAGAACTGCACATGCAGCCCCACACCCTTGCCAGCGACAAGTCGGGCTTCTTCCCGGTGAGCAGCTGGTATGGTGTCGTCCCCAGCGGCAAGGGTGACCTCTCTAGGCAGTTGCGGACCCAAACGGCCTGCCGTAGAGCAAGGTGCCACCAGTGGTGCTGCACGCCCATGCGCAGCAGCATCGTCCGCACCGACTCCACCACCGTCCTCATCTCTCGCTCCGCCATGCCGTTTTGTTGCGGGGTGTACAGGCAGGTAAGGTCGTGGACGATCCCTTTAGCATTCACGAGGTCAGTGAACTGTTTCCCGAGAAACTCCCCTCCCTGGGCAGAGCGAAGCATCAACACCGACTTTTTCGTCTGCCTCTCAGTCACCACCAGCCACTGCACGATTTCCTACAACGCATCCGACTTCTTGACGATCGGCCTCACCCACACGTAGCGGGTCTTGCGGTCCTTGAGCAGCAAGAAGTACACGCTGCTGTCTTTGGCAGCCACGTGGAACGGCCCGCACAGGTCGATGTGCACGACGGCGAGCACGTTGTCGGCATCGGAGCCTTGGCCGGGGAAGGTGTGCCGCGCCATCTTCCCGCCAACGCACGAGACACACAGCGAGTCGGCGCCCGACGTTGACTTGAGGCTCAGCCCAATGGCGACCTCATGCTTCGCCGAGCTACGGATGGTGTCCATGCCGACGTGTGCAAGCCTCGCATGTAGTCTGTCCGGCGTCGACTTTGTCGCCGAGACGATCGCCCGCAGGGCCACGACCTCTGGCGTGGGTGACGTCGACCTCGTTGAGCAGGGACGCAGGTCGGTGCAGAGGACACGCCCGGAGTACGTCGCCTGGCCGAGCACCTCTCCCGCTGCCGAGATGAGCAGCATCCCGTCTCTGTCCTCCTGCAACTTCATGTCGTGCTTCTTCAACCGGCCGGAAGACAGCAGGTTTGCCCGCACACCCGGGACGTAGAGCACGTCAGGGATGAGCACTTGCCTCCCAGCCTCCCCTTGCAGGGAAACATTGCCGCGGCCCTGGACGTCCGTGCACCGCCCCATTGAAGACGCGCACGTGCTTGATGGAGCCGCTCGGCTGCAGGTCGACGAAGACTTCCTTCGTCCCCATCAAGTGGTGGGAGTAGCCGCTGTCGAGCAAGACCACCGTCGGGTTTGCCTGCACAGCTGCTGCCAC